GGAAGGGACGGTGGCGGACGGGACCCGCTGCCGCCCGGCGAGGAAACGGCTCCTCGGGAGGTTCCTGCCGCAGGAAGGGCCCAGCCCCGAGGCTCAGCCGGGATCTGCGCTGCTGCCGGATCTGGCACGGCCTCTCTGGGCAGTGGGATGGGGACCCCATTAAGGGGGGCCCATGGGAGCTGCTCTGCCCTGGGTTTTGTCCCCACGCACCCCAGGGAGTTCTGCTGTGTTGGTGGGCACATCCCAAGTCCTTCCCGCACACGAGTGGTGCGGGAAACAACAATGGGAGAGGCTGACATCAGTGGGAAGCAGCTGGGAAGAAAAATGGGGCAGGGACCCCCAACCACTTGCCCAAGTGAAACCCCGGAGGATGGGCAAGAAGGATGGGGGATAGACAGGGGACAAGGGACAGGCACATCCCCATTCCCAACCCTCTTCCGACAGACACCAAACACAGGTTCAAACTGTGATGAGGCCCCACTGTGGAGAAGCGAACTCAGAAATCACTTCACTTGTTGTTAAATAGAGTTTAATTATTTTTGCTTGGGGAGGGGTTAAAGGAAAATAAAACTTCTCCCAAGGATGAGCAGCAGCAGGTGGGGAGGAGGGGCCCGGCTCTCCCTGGCTATTCCCAGAGGCCATGGCCTGGCTGGGCTCTCTGAACAAGAGATGCTCGGGGCACCCACGATCCCTCTGGGGCACGCAGGTCCCTAAAGGCACAAGTGTCACTTTGTCCCCTCCCCACGTGGGTCCACCACCCAGAGCAGCTCAGTTGTGCAAAACCCCCATGTAAAAAAATACCAGTTTTCAGTATCCTAAAAAACTAGAGCTTTGATCAATGTCAGTTCTCCACACCCTTGACTGGAATCCTGGGATGACACCCTGAAGAGCCACTGGGTTCCACTGGGAGGGGACATTGGCACCAGGAGGATGACAGGGAACAGCACCCGGTTAGTGTGAAGGGGGATGGATTTTTCCAGCCCCTTTCTTTAGCCCTGGGTGGGCAGAAGGTCCCTCTGTGGGGCAGAAGCATCCCCCCCCCACTGTTCCTGTCCCCAGGACAGGGCTGGGCACAGAGTAGGCTCTCAGGCAGGGGGGCTCTGCTCTGTCCCTCCCACCATCCCCATCCCGAGGGCAGTGGCAAGGTCAGTGCCAGGCTACAGGCTGGGCTCTGTGCTGGCCTCCAGCTGCCGCTGGTACCGCTGCCGCCGCTCACAGCGCGGGCACGACGGGGCCCGGGCATGGCAGTCCCGGTGGAAGACGGTTTTGCATTCACTGCACCTGGGAAAAGAAGGAAAAAAACAAACCCACTGTGTTGTGACATCAGAGCAAAGACCAAACTTCCCCTACTGAAACAAGGGACACTTCCCTGTCCTGAGCAGAGCTGCAGCCTCAGCTCAGGAGGAGCCTTCAGCAGCAGCTCCACATCCACCCCAGCAGCTCCACATCCACCCCAGCAGCTCCTCATCCACCCCAGCAGCTCGGTGTGCAGCAGCCTGGCCGGAAGGAGCGTGGTGGGCGCTGCCGGCAGCTGCCAGCGTGTGAGAGAGACGGGTGTGAGGTTTGAGCTGAGGTTTGTGCCCTGCTCTCCCAGCACCGAGCACAGCTTTGAGGGTGTGACAACACCCCCTGCAACAACCCTGTGACACCAAACCCTGGACAACGGCCCTTGTGACACTGATCCCTCAGCACCAATCTCGTGACACCGACCCCGACACGGATCCCTGATCCCCGACCCCTGTGAAGCATCGCTGCTGGGGACCCTCTGCTTGCCGTGGCTGGGGTGGGAGACAGCAGGAGCTGCACGGGGCAGGGAGGCTGAGGAGCTGCAGGGAAGGGCAGGCAGCCAGGAGGGAGCTGCCCTTGGCTCCATGGAGCTGTCAAGAGCTCCCTGATCTGGCTCAGCAGCAGCAGGAATGTGACACCCTGTGAAGGACCCCAGCTCGGGCAGGGGTGTCACTGCTCAGTCACCAGCAGAAATGTTCCTGCTATGAGGGCTGAGGTCAATTTTTGAGTTGTGATCCTCAACTCCTCGCTGGCAGTAAAATGTGGCTCAGCCACATGCCAGCGGGGCAGCCAGATTTACCTTCACTGTGCAAATACCTGGTGCACAATCCATGTGTGAACAGCACGAAACACCTTAATTCCCCAGAGGATGCATGGGACAGAGGCTGAGAAACAGCCGGCAGTGCCAGAAAAGGGACCACAGCTCCACAGCTGGGGCCAAACCCTGCTCCGGAGAGGAGCTGCAAACCCTGAGGGACTCGGGACGGGGAAAGGCAGGATTTGGGGTGAAAAATATGCATTTCCCCCGTGGAACACACTTCCAACGTGGCCTCTGCGGAGCAGCAGCGGGGAGATTTGTGGTTCTGAGTGAGAAGTGGCATCTCCTGCCTCCACCTCCCCCCGAGCTGCCGGAGCAGGGGAGGCTCCTGCGCTGCCGGGATCATTGTTTGAGGAGCTGCAGGCACATCCTGCAGCGAGACCCGGCGGCCCCGGGCGGGCAGAGGGGCAGGAAGCCGCGTTTAGCTCCCCGAGGATGTCGGCTGAGCTCTTTCCTGCTGCACAACCTCCTCCGTCAGGGTGAGAAAGAAAGACGTCAACAAACTGCAGAGCTCGGCTCCACGGGACGCGAGAGCTCCGGGCAGTTCAGCCCTGCCTGCCAGCACTGGGCAGAGCCTGGCTGCTCTTTTTCCAGGGAAAATCTTCCCCCTGGGGATGTTGTTGTCCTCGATAAAGAGCTCAGTGCTGTCCCTGTGGCAGGGAGGGGAGCGAGAAATACTCGCAGCCCTGGAACACATGGAGCACCCACGGATGCCGCTATCCTCGGGATTTTCTGCAGGTTCTGGGTGTTGCTGCTCACTTGTAGGGATTGCCAGGCAAAGAGAGGCCACGCAGCCCATGAGGCTGTGAAATCTCTCAGCCAGGATTCTGTTCAATCCTTAGCCAAATAGGCTAAGACAGCACAAGAGGAAATGGCCTCAAGTTGCCTCAGGGGAGGTTTAGGTTGGATATTATGGAAAATTTCTTCACTGAAAGAGTTGTCCAACTCTGGCAGAGGCTGCCCAGGCAAGTGGGGGAGTCAGGCATCCCTGCAGGGATTTTAAAAGCCGTGTGGATGTGGCACTTGGGGACATGGGTCAGTGGTGGCCTTGGCAGTGCTGGGGGAACTGGACTCGATGATCTTACAGGGTTTTTCCAACCTGAATGATTCCACGATTCTGTGACATAACCACGGAGATACGGATCTCTCCACCTACAGTGGAGCAGGCTCCTGGGCTGGAAGGGTTTGACTTCTTCAGTAAACCTTGATGGTGGGGATGAGTTCCCCTCTAGCACCATCTCCCTCCTGATTCCAACCTCTGTCCAGCTGCTGCACCTCAGCTCACAGCCAACCCCAGGCAGGACAGATCCCTCTGCCTGTGAGCGATGGGAGCTCTGTGGGCAGGGGAGAACCTGGTATCACTCCTCTCCTGCTGGGAACATCCTCAGCCTCTCCCAGTGCAGTGCTACCCTCCATCCATCTCTGCTCCTGGAGCTGTGGCTGCCCCAAGCCTGCAAGTGTCCAAGGCCAGCTTGGACAGGACTCAGAAAGTGTCCCTGACCATGGCAGGGGGTGGCACTGGTGGCTTTAAGGTCCTTCCAACCCAAACTGTTTTAGCATTCTATTACATCTGTGTCCATGTGTCCGTCCTTCCTTCTGTGGCTGCAGAGGGATGTAGGACAGTCCCACTGCTGCTTCTGCTTCCCTCCTGCAGCCCCTGCAAGGGGTCAGACCGGCCCTGACTGGGAGAGGCCCTGGCCAGGTGAGCAAGACAGGGACATGCAGAACCTTCCTCCTCCTCCTCCTCTCTCTAGCCCCTCAGCTGCCCTAGCACCCAGCAAGGCCTTTGCAGGCTGACAGCAAGGTGCAGGTGGCTCTGCATCTTCAGTCTGCAAAGGCACCTCTCTTGGTGACATCTTGGTTCTGTGAGGACAGTCTGCTCCTGCTCCAAACAGCCTGGATTTGGTTTGGAGCATCCTGGAGCTGATGGCTTCCATGAGGACATGGGCACCACGAGGCTACAACTCCCACAGGAACATGGGCACAATGAGGATGTGGCTCCCACGAGGAAATGGGCACCACAATATGGTTCCCATGCCTGAGGACATGGGAACCACAAGATCATGGACATCATGAGAATGCACCTCAGAGCCATTCCCAATTCCCCACGTGCCATGGAAGAGCAGAATTTAGGGGTTGGCTGGGGCTCCTGGCATAAGCCAGGCTGTGCCCCTGGGTGTCCTGGCTGCAGTGGGACGGGCTGAGGTGCCTCACTCACCTGGTGGTAGTGTCAAACTCGAAGGGGAAGATGATGTCACTGCTGTTGCAGATCTGGCAGATGAAGCCCCGCTGGGTGCACAGGTCACAGCTGTAGACGTGGTGGGATGCAAACTGCAGCAGTGACTGCAGGAAGGTCTCGAAGGCGCCGTCGGCGATCTGGGGGACACAGGGGTCAGCGCTCCTGGAGCCCGGCCCCGCGGGGTTTGCTGGGTCACACCCATTCTTTGGGGTCCACCTGAAGGTAAGGCTGTCCTCCAAAACAACCCCCACCCCACAGGCCTGGGGTGCAATGGGACCCAGGATTGCTGAGAGCAGCACCTCAACCTGCCTAACCACAACCTAACCTAACCTAACCTAACCACAGCCTGCCAGGATGGGGCTCCTGGCTTGGGAGTCACTGAAAAACCCAACTGCTGGGAACCGCCTGCTGCAGGAGCAGCACATGGCATCCCCACAGACACCAGGGAGTTTTCACCTGGAAAGCCCCAACTGGGACAGGAGCAACCTGGTCTAGTGGGAGTGGAACTGGATGGCAGGGGGTGGTACGAGGTGCTCCTTAAGGTCCCCTCCAACCCAAACCATTCTGTGATTCTCTGATCATGCACTGCTCTCACCTGCCTCAGATCAG